ATATTGATTTATATATCTTTTTTTTTTTTTTTTTTTCCTATATTCATTTTGGGAGCTCTGGTAGTGTAGTGTCTAAGGCACTTGACTGCTAAACAGAAGGCTGGTGGTTCAAACCCACTAGCCACTCCTCAGAAGCAAGGTTGGGCAATCTACTTCCGTAGTGATATCGCCTCGGAAACCCAAGGAAGGGTCGCTCAGAGTCCAGTCCGACTTGATGGCACATAACAACAACAACATATTCATTTTAAAAACAACTCCCTCCATCCCCCTCATTAAGAAAACCATAGAGGTTCACTTTAGAAAATCCAGGTTGCTCTCAAATCCAGGTTAGTCACAGGTAGTCACTGTGGCAGTTTGAACAGAGAATGACAGAGGTGGAGAGTGACAGAGGTGAGACTCTAACTTTCTATAATGGAGGGGAAGGAGGAGATAACTTGTGAGCCCAGTGGGAGATGCTGAGTTCCACAGAAAGGGTTGTGAATTGGCAATAAAAATCTTAAGTGTGGGCAGACAGTTTGCAAATCTGCTGAATAACAATAATAAAACTAAAAGCTAATATTGAGCACTTTCATATGCTTGGCACTATCCAAAGCACTGCACATTTTTATTTAGTAGCTAATTTGGCATAATGTCTAAGGCATTTGACTGCTAACCAGAAGACTGGCAGTTCAAACCCATCAACCACTCCTTGGAAGGAAGGTTGGGCAATCTATTTCCATAGAGATACCGCTTCAGAAACCCAAGGAGAGGTCTCTATGAGTTGGATCTGATTTGACAGCAGTGAGTTTTTTGAGAATTTAACCCTGGGAGCTCTGGTGGCATAATGCCTCAGGCATTTGACTGCTAACCAGAAGGCTGGTGTTTCAAACCCACCATCCACTCCTTGGAAGGAAGATTGGGCAATCTATTTCCATAGAGATAACACCTCAGAAACCCAAGGAGGGGTCACTATGAGTCAAATCGACTCAAAGGTAGTGAGTTTTTTTTTTTTTTTTTAATTTAACCCTGATGGGTTCAGTACTTCTATCATTCTTATTGTATAGATGAGACATCTGAGGCACTAAGAGATTACGCAATTTGCTCAAAGTCACAAAGTTAGCAAATGGTGGAGCTGGGATGTAATGTAGCCCAGCTGTAAACTACTTCATACAAAGCTGGCTATTAACTTTTATTTTTTATGTCGATTTGCTCCTGGGGAGCTCTGGTAGCATAGTGCCTAAGGCACTTGGCTGCTAACCAGAAGGCTGGAGGTTCAAACCCACCAGCCACTCCTCAGAAGGACGTCGGGGCAATCTACTTCCGCAGTGATGCTGCCTCGGAAACCCAAGGAGGGGTCGCTATGAGTCGGGTCTGACTTGATGGCACATAACAACATTTGCTCCTGAGTGCTATTCAAGTTTTCCTACTGTAGTCTATAAAGTTCTAGGGAACTAGAGCTTAAATTGTATTTAAATTGTATTAAATACGATTGTATTTAATTGCATTAACTGTAATTTATACATTACTTAATTAATTAATTAAATTGTATTAAATTGATTTGTTGCTACTCTGAAGTCTGGTTTGTTGAAAGCAGCCAACACACTTCTTTTAATGATTCCAATGCCAGAGTCCAGAGGTGGCCCAGTGTGTAGAACTTCACCCTCAGCTGGCAGGATGTGAGTGATGATTCAGTGGCTGTCAGGCTGGTACCCACCCCCTTCACTTTCCAATGGTTCAAAATAGTATTATGATGTAGTGTTTAATGTTTTAAAAATTACTCTGGTGATTTTTGTATTTAAAAGTTCTATGAATACACCCTGAGGATGATGGTGAAAGGTTCAATTCTGGCATCAAAAGAAACAGGTACATTGAATATTTAGTTAAAGGATCAGATTAAAATTGCAGATGCAAAGGTGCTCTGATGAAAATGTGGTCCAATTTCCAACCCAAGGTCTGAGAGAGTGACAGGGGCCTAGTGTCCTCTTTGAAAAGAGTGCTTCAAACCGGTTCTTTCCAGTACCACCCCTGCTGAGAAAGTGAGTGTATTTCCACCCCAGATATAATGAATCATAATCTACAGTTGAATAGAATCACCTGGGGGGGGGGCAATCTTCTGATTCAGTATATCTGGAGTGGAAATGCACATTCCCAGCAAGGGGTCCAACTGGAATGAACTGTTTTGAAGCCTTGTTTGAAAACCAAATATAGTTAAATGCACATTCGAGAAAGAATGCAAATTTATTGCCTATATAATATATAATTTCAAAGCTGATTTTTTTTTTTTAATAAATGATCACTTATTAAAATATAAGGTGATTTGTTTTCAGGATTTGGGAAGGCATATATACTCACTTTCTAATGTTAAAGTAGTGGAGGAAAAACAGTCAGTATGCTCCTCCCTTGCTACAAAAGGGTGTTTATTACCTAGGATAGCAATGAAAAATTTAATACAATGTAGTTTATAACAAAGAAGTCATGTCTTTGGCCTTTCAGCTGGATATGCAGTTTCACCCCCATCTCATGGATAACCTAGAGATTTATTAGAATCTAACCCTAATTTATTAATTATCTGTAACTATACCACATATTAAAAAATCATAACTGTATTTTTATATAATTGGGGTTAAAGCAGATTTAAACATTTCCTTCTTTCCTACTAATGGCTAATTAAGTCTTAAGAGAAATTAGGAATGTGCTAATTTTACCATTTGCACTGCAGTCCTGCTTCCTGCCAGTGTCAAGAAAAGACTTTCAAGAAAAGAATGGGCAGCTACTTTTTAAAGAGATATCAAAACCTTCCCATCCTCCCCTTTTTCTTTTTTGGTTTATTTATTCTGAGCAAACTGTCCCAGGAAAACCCACCCATTAGCTCAGGTTTGAATCTTCTTTCTGAATTTCTGCCTTTCTACTCCTACCATTATAGCTTGGCTGACTTTTCACCTCTGCTACACTTTCAAGATACTTCAGTCTCAGGACCAGGAGGATTGTTGAAGCTTTTTCTTCTCCTGTGATTTTTTTTTTTTTAAATCTTTTTAGATGCTGGTGGGTGGGGTCAAGCCAAGAAGGAGACAGCAGGTCTGGCCCATCCCTGTTCTGACCCTCTGGGGCCATCTTCCTTCTGGCAATTCTCTTTCCCCATCTGTTTTCCTCTTGTTTTTGTTTAAAGGGGGGGCAGGGGAAGAATGAAAAAAGAAAGAGAAAAAAAAAAAACCAAAAAATATATAGAACACGTCTGCACAAGGCCAGTGTAGTAGAAATTGACGTGTGAGTGTGCGTTTACATGCAGAACTCAATATTATGGAAGAAACACACTTGTGTTGGCAATAGATGGTGGCCCCAAAAGCGTCTAATTTTTAAAGTATAAAGAGTTTTCTCTATTTCTCATTCATTTGGCAAAGATAGAGCTCTGTTTTGGTTTTATTTGAGCAATAATTTCATCCCTCACACATTTGCTGTGTTCTGCTCCAGGTGCTGAGGAGAGAGCTTCTGAGGGCAGCAGAGGACTTAGGCCTTGCTACCTTTGTTTTTTTTGGGAAGAGATTGCCAGGGAGCCCTGGATGCACAAAGGTAAGCGCCCAGCTATTGGCTGTTCGTACCCACCTACCAGCTGTGCGGGAGAAAGGCTCAGTGATCTGCTTCCATAAAGATTATAGCCTAGAAAACCCTATAGGGCAGTTCTACTCTGCCACACTGGGTCACCATGAGTAGAAAATCTTCCAACACAGGATTGCCAGGGATTTTTAAGGAAGTGCTTCCCACATTTAGCCACCCCCCTCTCGCCCTTTGTCCCTGGCTTGGAGGTTGTTCAGGAGCTTCATAGGCCTTCAACACATTTGTCCAGCTGGATTGATTTAAGGGCTGTTTCTATGTTGATCTTCCCCTGGAAAACCCATTGAATTCCGGTGAGCAAAATCAGACAGGGATGTCGACATTGTGTATGTTGATTTCTCTCTTTCATCCATCTTTATGACCCAGGCTTGGGTGCTCGGGTTGGACACTTAGTTGTTTAATTGAAGTACAATTTACACACAGTGATATTTTGCACAGGTCTCAACTAGCAGATTTTAAGTTTTGACAAATACACACATCTGTATGTGTTCCATCACCCCCAAAGTTTCCTTCGTGCCTTTAAAGGTACTTTTTTCTATCTGCATAGCTTACTTTTGCTTGTTCTAGACTTTCTTGTACCTGGAATCACACAGCATGAACTCTTTGTGTCCGGCTTTTTTCTCCCAACATGATGTTTTTGACATTAATTTAGGTTGTTCAAAGTAGCAGTGGCTACGTGAGTTTAAACAGGACCCACGATGTCACTAACAGCATGACCATCTTAAGACGGGGAAAATTGTTCTGCCTGTTTGCCTCCAAACCATATACCACTATCCTGGTAAGTGGCCCTCTGCCCTTCCAAGGCAGTATCTTTCCAGAGCCTTGTAAGTTTCTCTCCCAGAAGAGCCAAACAGCTTCTAGCACCACCCAGATGGCCGAGGGGCCGTCATCTCGGTACCCGCGCCCTTAACAGCTGCCCTCCTCCTCATTAAAAAGCCGAAACTGATCCCTCCGCCGATCCAGAATTTAGATTTACTTAATTCTGCACACAACTACGTGATATCTTTTGTGTTGATCACAGATATCCATAGTCCTTAAGAAAACATTAAAAAAAAAAAAAGCGAAAACCCAGATCTCACTGGCAAGGGGATATCAGTCTCTTTTGAACCAGGATACAGAATGAAATCTTTTCTTTTTTAAATAAACGGAAGAGTCACCATTCCTCGCTCGAAAGGTTTCAAAGGTCGTCACACTGAAGCCCGGGGGCGGTCATCTCCCTAGCGGCCAGGGGAAGGGAGGAGGTTGGAAGGAGGAGGGAGGGAGCACACAAAAGCCAGCCGTGCTGAGAGGGCTAATGTTTCCTGTTTGCCTGGAGCCCCCTCCCCCCCGCCTCCCCTCCCTCGAGCCCCCTCCCTGCACTCCGGCGGAAGTGAGTTTGCTCCTTTGGAGATTAAAAGGATTCCGAATTCCGATCAGTCCCAATAACCGGAGTACGGAGAAGAGGTGGAGGAGGAGGTGAAGGAGGAAGAGGCGGTAAAGCAGAGAAAGAGGGGGTGCGCGCGCGCGCGCGCGGCCGAATTGGGGGTGTTTTGAAAGCCCCAGGAGGCCGAGTTACTGCTTGAGCAAAGCCGCATAGGCACAGCACGGTCGGGGCCACCCGAGTCCTGTTCCGCAACTCGTTTCAGAAGGAAGATGACGCGGGCGCTGGCGGTCAGCGTCGGCCACGCGGTTCCCGAGCTCGGCGCGCGGGGCCGTTGACGATTCCACTGATTCCAGCGCGCTCGGGAGGAGGCTCCGTCCCCGCGGATCGGGATCGGAGGGGGGACCAAGGCGAGGGCGAAATGGCCCGATGACAAAGGAAATGTGATCCCTCTTCGCTGCCAAGGTTTCAGAGAGGACGGACTTAAGGAGGAGGGGCGCGCTCTGCGCGCGGAGCTCGGATAGCATTGCACGACGGCCCGCGCGGAGCGGGTAGCGGGTACATCTAATATCTTCCTGCCGATGAATAATTCAAGGCGGCCCGCGGGGACCTGCAACCCCGCGCAACGGCACTGCTAAGCGGGAGGAGAAGGAACGCGCGGGAGGCGCCCGGGCGGGGTGAGGCGGGGGCGCCTGAGCCCCGGCCGCGTGGGGCGCGCGTGCGTGTTAACCGCGGAGGCCGAGCTGGGCGGGCGCGCGGGAGACTCGAGGCGCGTGGGGCGCGCGTGCGTAGTGCAAGCGTGCGGCCACGGCCGGGTCCCCACGAGCTTCAGCTGCGGCCCGGCCAGCCTCCCGCCCTTCAGGGGAGGCCGCGCCTGGCGGTGCGCAAGCCCCGAGCGCCTTACCCTGGGCCACCCAGGAGCCCCTAGCCGCCGAGTCATGCGGCGGGGCGGCCGGCGCCGCGCTGGGGGACACCAGATTGGCGACGTTCCGCTCACGCCTTTCCTAGTTTGGGGCTCCTTCCCCTCTCAAGAAAAGACTAAATCCCTTTAAAGGAAAACAAAAACATCACACCAAATAACTCGTCAAACCAAATTCTGCTTCTCCCGCCTGTACAGGGATTGCACAGCAGACTCTCATTTTGGGGACTCCTCTCAGGGAGCTCGAAGCGAAGCCCCAGCTGTTCCAGGGAGTCCTCTGACCTCCCCGCCCCCGCTCGCCCCCTGCGTGTCGGGACTTGTTTGGCTCTATCGCTTCGGAAGGCACGCGGGCCCCAAGTCCTCCGGGAGGAATCTGTGTCGCCTCTGGGTAGTGGCATTTAATGCCCTCAGCGTCGGGGGTGGTCGTGCGCGGGCCGGACTCGGCGAGGCCGAGCGGTTCGGGCCGCTCTGGTGCCGGCTCGCGATTGCAGGCCTAATCGATGCATTTTTCTGAGTGAGTCGGCGGCTACCCCCCACCCGTTTGGTCCGTTCTTCTCCTCCTCCTCTTCCTCTCTGGTCTCCTCCCTCCTCCGGGCCGGGTTGCAAATGGCTTCGTTCCCCGAGACCGACTTCCAGATCTGCTTGCTGTGCAAGGAGATGTGCGGCTCGCCGGCGCCGCTCTCCTCTAGCTCGTCCGCGTCGTCCTCGTCCTCGCAGACATCTACGTCGTCGGGCAATTGCAGCGGTGGCGGGGGCCCTGGGGCCGCCGCGCGCCGCCTGCATGTCCTGCCCTGCTTACACGCTTTCTGCCGCCCGTGCCTCGAGGCGCACCGGCTGCCAGCGGCGGGCGGTGGCGCGCCGGGAGAGTCACTCAAGCTGCGCTGTCCTGTTTGCGACCAGAAAGTAGTGCTGGCCGAGGCGGCAGGTATGGACGCGCTGCCCTCGTCTGCTTTTCTACTCAGTAATCTTCTTGACGCCGTGGTGGCCACCGCGGACGAGCCGCCGCCCAAGAACAACGGGCGCTCAGCCCCGCCGGCTGGAGCGGGCGGCCACAGCAACCACCGACACCATCCGCACCACGCGCATCCGCGCGCATCCGCTTCTGCGCCGGCACTCCCGCAGCCGCCGCAGCCGCCCGCACCGTCCCGCTCTGCGCCTGGTGGATCGGCTGCTTCGCCATCGGCGCTGCTGCTACGCCGGCCTCACGGCTGTAGCTCTTGTGATGAGGGGAACGCAGCCTCGTCGCGCTGCCTCGACTGCCAGGAGCACCTGTGCGACAACTGCGTCCGCGCGCATCAGCGCGTGCGCCTCACCAAGGACCACTACATCGAGCGCGGCCCGCCAGGTCCCGCCGCCGCGGCAGCTGCGGCAGCGGCGCAGCAGCTCGGGCTCGGGCCGCCCTTCCCTAGCTCGCCCTTCTCCATCCTCTCGGTGTTTCCCGAGCGCCTCGGCTTCTGCCAGCACCACGACGACGAGGTGAGTGCGTGGAGCCGCCTCGGAGGAAGTGCGCCAATGCGGGGTAGGGGCGTGTGTGTGTGTGTGTGTGTGTGTGTGTGTACACTAGGCATCTTAGTGCTGGCTTAGGGACAATCTTCTAAAGAGTCCCGAAGCAAGGGAAGGGAACTCCTCTTTCTGGGTTTTTTAATTTGATTAAATTTTTTTGGGGGGTTAAACTTGGTCTTCGTTGTTTCTAAGTAGATCATGAATCTTGACCTGGGAAGTAGGTGGTGTGTGTGTGTGTGTGTGTGTGTGTGTGTCTGTCTGTCTGTCTAGACCTGGCTGCTCAGTTTATGCCCGCTAGAGGCTCCTGAAAGGGTTCTGAAGCTTGGGGACGCGGTCTTCCATATAAACTTTTTTTTAAAACGTGGTAATCGTCTCTTAAGTTAGTCATGATCTTGGAAGTGTGTGTGTGTGTGTGTGAGTATGGGGACACCCCTCTTCCCCCACTGTTCCCGAACCTTGGGAGTCTTTCCGGACTTGGTCATTTTGTTTTACAAAGCGTGTAGAGTATTGTGTTAGGTAGGACACGAGGTAGGAGTTGTGCATCTGTGTAGATGTGGCCTCTGTGATTGCCCGCCAGAGGCCTTGTTAAGTGCGGAGAGGGCGTTCATTTCTTTTTATGTTCTCATTTATGATTGTTTATAAGTAAGGGAAGGGACGGATGGTTATGCAGTGCGTGTGCCCGTGGAGAACTTGAATCCACGTGCATACTTACTTGTAAGGGGCTTCTCAGAGGGTTTTTTTAATGACGGAGCTGTATTTTTTTATTTTTCTTTTACAGTAAGGGAGTCGTTGCTTTCTTGTGTTGGAAGAGGACTTACGTGGTTTTTTTATTTATTGTGGTAAAATTATAACATTTTCCCAAGTACGGCTTAATGACATTAATTACGTACACTGTGATCTGCAACCATCACTGCTAGTTACTAGCAAATTTTTAATCAGCCTTAACAGAGACTCAGGACACATAAATCTTTAACAGGACCTTTAAACCCGGGTATGGATCCTCCTTAACCTGTTCTGCTTTCCTCTGCTTCGGTAGTGGTCTCAGTTGCCCACGCTATAAAAAGTGTCTTCTGACCCCTGAACTCTTCCGTGGAATCGCTGGTCGGCCTCGGCACCACGATGTACCCTTACATGGAAAAGGCCTCGGGGACCTTGCCCATTGCCCTCTTCGGGCTGGGAGCCCCTCAGGCCGCACCCGCTTGTCTCGGCTTAGATCCCGTAGGGGAACCGGTTTCCCTGGTTGGAAGGTGTCCCCATCCGGCTCATCCAGGGGCTCGACTTCCTTGGGAAAAAGCTAGATCAGCTGCACGCGTCTCGAATCGGTGGTGAGCAGGGTTTGAGGGCTGCACAGTAGACAATATTGGGGGCTTGAGTTAGGTCGTTTGGCTTTCGAATAAACCTTTTCTTGCTTATTTCCCGCGTATTACGTGACACTCTCTTCACTTGCGAGTTGGTATTGGGCTAGCATCTTCTGCTCATTCGAACTCTAGGGGAGTAAAGGTGCAAAAATTGAGTGGAACAGCCTCTTTGAGAAGTGTTAACCTCGGGAACTTCTACCTGTAGTAGACTCGTGGGGTTTGCCTTGAAGGAAGGAACGGCGGCGGCTTTAAAAACCCTTGTGGGAGTTGCTGCGGGTGTGAGTGGCCCTGCTGGGACCCAACACGGCCGATCCAGTACAACACTGCACTCTGCTCCACGCTTAAGCTGTTATTTGGGGAGGAGGGCGGAGCTTGATGGTCTTAAACTGGCTGCTTCTATTGGGAAAAAGTTGAAATTCTAATCTTCTAGTAGGCACCTTCTTTTAAACTTCTAGGTACGCAGTTGGGAGTTGTTATCCCCTTCCTTCATTTTTAAGCGTTAAATGGACTGACTACACTTTATCTCATTCATGGGTGTTTCTAGTGTATTCTTTCATCTCAGAAAAAATGAATGAGCTAAATACTGACCTGAATTTTAGGAACAAAAATACTGAGCTAATTTACTTGCAGATTAGGTTCAAATGGTAAGGGGGATGGGAAGAGGGCGCCGGACTTTCCCTCCTGGGAGGGGCCTTGATTAAACTCTCCCCTCATCACTCAAGTTTTTATTTACATTTACAGTTAAAGATCTGTTTGTTTTATATTTGGCAAAACCCCAGTAGAGGCTTAGTGTTGCCAGACTTGTAAAAGAGATGTTTTTATTTTTATTTTATTCAGACTTGTAAAAGATTTATTCGCTTTTTAAATTATAAAGCCATTCAAGTTGTGTGGAAGAACTTGAAATACGAGGGGCGCGCACCCAGGGAGGTACCCGGATGCCCAGAAAATTCCCTTTTGAACTAAATATGTGAAATAATAACTTGAAGTTGCTGGCCAAAGTGATTAGGTAGTATGTTACCAAATACTTAAAAATATGTAATTTATCTAATTTCGAGCAAAATTATCATTCCCTCAGTTTTAGCATTAAAAAGAAAAGTTACTAATTAGTTTTTAGACCTCTTTCTCTTCGTCCCTCCCTGAATTTCCAGTGCCTGGACCATTTGAATTTAAGAGTAGAAACTCCAATGTTGTGGATAAAAGATTGAAATAAAGAAAACGCTAGGTACTAAGGTTCATATTAAGGTCCCACTCACTGCCTAAATTCTTTTCATTCTGAGGGAAGTGATGGTTACAGTGTCAGAAAATTTTTCTTTTAAAATGACATGCTTCTGGGAAGGGGCATGATGGCACTGGGGAGGATGGAGAATGCTATCTATCTTGATTGCTCTCAGTTTGCAAAAGCATCTGCATTTTACTTTGTAGCATCTACCTCGATTCAAAAAATAGGCTGCTTCATTGAGTTACCTCCCAAGTCCACAGACTTCCTTAAATAATTCAAAGTGCCCTTGCTTTACCTTGACTGATGCCACCTGACCTTGGAAAGGAGGCCCGGTTGGCCAGCTTTTCCTCAGTAATTTTAGAGTAGGTGCCTCCAATAGCTGGTCAGCCAGGGTTGCGGTGGCAGGCGGTAGATTCTTGCCCGCGAATGCCTGCTTTCCTGACGCATCCTTGTAGAAATGGTCCACCCGGACTGGACTGGCACTTGATACGGTGCCTCAGCGCTTGGTTTAAAACGGTAGTCTTGAAAACCCAGAAGTCAGGATTTTGGTTTTCCAATGAAATGATGAAAACATTTGCTTGTTCTGATTCTTATGTCGTATTTGGTTCATTAGAACACATGTTGGGTTTCTCGGTAAGTTAATGTTTCTGTGGGACAATCCCGAAAGCCCTGGAGGAGCTGCGGCCAGGTGGCAGTTGTAGGCCCCATGAGCATCAAGTCTGCGCCCGCTAATCCCGGGAGATGAGGGCAGGACAGCCGCTGAGGGCCCATGCCGCTGCCCACCAGCCTGGAACCTGCCTCCTGGAGCCCCCTCCGAGCTCAGGGAACCTGGCTGGTCCTGGGCTCAACACGTCCCTATTGCCGCTTGGCTCTTGGAGTTCCCAGTGCCGGCTCCTCAAGGGTCCTTTGTGTTTTAGAGAAACAGTCCACACTTCACATAT